TTATGGAGATGACATGATTACTCTGAGCTGTTTACAAAGCTCCGCTGCTTTTTAATTAGTTATCCTATGTAAATATGTGCTAGATGGCCATCTTTGACCACCGCGCCTCGCAGCTTTTTGTCGCGCTTCTCCATTCACCAGGGCTGCGACTCCGCAATTGGATACGATTATGCGAGTCTCGTGTTTATAAGAGCAAAACATTCTGATTGGCTAGTAAATGTTAGTTTGGTTGAGAGTGAAAGCTGTGCTCCTCTCTTACCATTGGTAGGCGAACTCATGGACTCAAAAGTGATATCAAAAGATTTTTTTTTTTATGTTTTAAATGAACACTTGCCCGATTAGGTTTACCTGATCATCCGTACATCATTTTTAGAAAAATCATGTTAAAATGTATCAAATATGATACATTAGGGTTTTAAGGAACGTTGATTTGTTCACATCTCAATAATCATTGTATTATATGTTTTGGCCCCAACAATAAAAACTACAGAGCTTAGATCATAAATATCTTAGTAAGACATACTATTGGAAAATATAGAGTGACAATTTTTTTTTTTTTATGCAAGTAGTCATCTTAACTGTTATAAAGATCTCACTGTTTACATTAAAAGTAACAGAGGCTTCAGAATCTTTTTGGCCACATGAAATAACAGCAACTGCACCAAATTGCATAGCTCAGTTTGGGCTTCTGAATAAAATGTATGGTTTTTTTAATATCATACTATGAGCCATAAAAGCCTGATGTATCAAATATGACACTCAACTTTTTTTTCATGTCAGGCCCTACAGGTTTAAAATGTTGACTTTAACGCTGATGTTGATAAACAGACCTGTACTTCTGTTGCATCTCCAGGTCCAGCCCCGAGCCGAGATGAGGCATTTCTTTTCAGTAGCTGAGCACATTAAAATTATTATTACAATATAACATAAAAAGACTTATTAAAAAGCTACAAAATTCAAATGCGCAACATACAATAGGTGTATAAATGGGGGAAAATAAAATAATGTTCACCTACCCTTTTGAGAAGGTCCCTGGCTTCTTGTGTGAGGTAGGGTGGGAGGTTCAGTTTGCATTTAAGAATTTTGTCAATGGTTTTTTTACGGTTCTCTCCTGTAAAGGGGGGCTAGAAAGGCAAGAAGAAAAAATATCCTCGTCAAAAAGAAACATCCATTTATAGTAGGGAAGTTCAAAAACTTTAAAATGGACTAAAACAAGGGTTCACAAACTTTTTGATGCCAAGAACCCCAAATACAGTGATCCTATTGTGAGAGACCTCACTGACAAATATAAAGCTAACTGTATTGTGTTATGGATAAAAATCTATTTATGCTGTGTGAGAACAAATTTAGTGTATGTTTTGTGACAACACTCAAATTATTGATTACAAAATTAAATTGGTTTATACAGTCATTACACTAAAATACTTATCTTCTTTTAAGTTGACAGTAAATGAGATAAACTGTAGAATTATATTTAGAAAAATAACAAATGACAAACATAAAAAAGCATTAAAAAAATTTGAATTAATGTCTTGTTTTCTGACCAGTCTTTAGAAATCAGAATGAAATTTTATTACAATTAGTGAACATGAATTTAACAAATTAAAACATATTTCCTTAATACTCTAGGAGCACACATTAGCGTTGATAGGCAAAAAAATATATATATCATTTTTTTTAAATATATATTTTAATGGACCCCTTGCAGCCCCTAGATGGTGTGCTGCCTAAATAACTAGCTTAAGGAGCCAGTAAACTTCTTTTTAAAAAATTACTTAAATTAAAAAAAACTATAGAAAAAAAATTTCAAATTAGATTTTTTTTTTAATTAGTCAAGCTCATTAATTGGTTATTGAAATGAATTCAGAAACATAAATACATAAATTCCAGAATGTACATTCAAAAACCAAATTGAAGTATTGCAGGCTAGTGCACTGCACCAAGACATTTATACTCACTGCTCCAGTTAACATGTCATACATCAAAGCCCCCAGACTCCACCAGTCAACAGCCCGATTGTGTCCGCTTCTCATGAGGATCTCTGGAGCCCTGAAATAAAGAAACTTCTCACACTACTGTAGAATCCATCTAAATGCATGTCACACGGGCACATCAGGCAATGAAAAGTGGCATTTGGAAAACAGGAAATTAGCTACTTAGACGTCACAATGATGTAAAGGTTTCTTTAAACGTCTCTGACATGTATTCAATAGTGCCGCAGAAAGTGTGTGTCACTGTGCCATCATGAATCGACTCCTTACACAGCCCAAAATCAGTCAGTTTTACATGTCCTGTGATAAGACAAAAAAAAACAGACTTATTATAACTAAGCATTTCTCAGTTCATTTTCAAATTTACTCCTATCTAAACCACAATACGAAGCAGCCAAACCTTGGTTATTGAGCATGATGTTCTCCGGTTTGAGATCTCTGTAGATGATGCCTTTCTGATGCAGATGCCCGAGAGCCATAGAGATTTCAGCCAAGTAAAAGCTGCGTGTAAAAACCCTGAGCATCATTCTGATTATCTTCCTTCATCTCATCATGTTAAATGTAAGGCCTATTGTATGCATGTGTCGGTGTTCATGTGTTTTTGAAAATTGTTTCAAAAGTTGACACTTCAATAAAACGCTACATGTTTAAAGTGCTAATCATAATTCAATTTTAATATAGTAAGTTTATGCTTTAAAAGTCACAACTCATCAAATCGCCCTTTCTTACCAGGCTGTGTCCTCCATGAAAATCCCCTCTCGCTCAAGCTGCATGAAAAGCTCCCCACCTGCAAAAGAAAAAAGGCTTTTACCACAAACTCCAGGTCCAGCCCCGAGCCGAGATGAGGCATTTCTTTTCAGTAGCTGAGCACATTAAAATTATTATTACAATATAACATAAAAAGACTTATTAAAAAGCTACAAAATTCAAATGCGCAACATACAATAGGTGTACAAATGGGGAAAAATAAAATAATGTTCACCTACCCTTTTGAGAAGGTCCCTGGCTTCTTGTGTGAGGTAGGGTGGGAGGTTCAGTTTGCATTTAAGAATTTTGTCAATGGTTTTTTTACGGTTCTCTCCTGTAAAGGGGGGCTAGAAAGGCAAGAAGAAAAAACATCCTCGTCAAAAAGAAACATCCATTTATAGTAGGGAAGTTCAAAAACTTTAAAATGGACTAAAACAAGGGTTCACAAACTTTTTGATGCCAAGAACCCCAAATACAGTGATCCTATTGTGAGAGACCTCACTGACAAATATAAAGCTAACTGTATTGTGTTATGGATAAAAATCTATTTATGCTGTGTGAGAACAAATTTAGTGTATGTTTTGTGACAACACTCAAATTATTGATTACAAAATTAAATTGGTTTATACAGTCATTACACTAAAATACTTATCTTCTTTTAAGTTGACAGTAAATGAGATAAACTGTAGAATTATATTTAGAAAAATAACAAATGACAAACATAAAAAAGCATTAAAAAAAATTAGAATTAATGTCTTGTTTTCTGACCAGTCTTTAGAAATCAGAATGAAATTATTACAATTAGTGAACATGAATTTAACAAATTAAAACATATTTCCTTAATACTCTAGGAGCACACATTAGCGTTGATAGGCAAAAAAATATATATATCATTTTTTTTAAATATATATTTTAATGGACCCCTTGCAGCCCCTAGATGGTGTGCTGCCTAAATAACTAGCTTAAGGAGCCAGTAAACTTCTTTTTAAAAAATTACTTAAATTAAAAAAAACTATAGAAAAAACATTTCAAATTAGATTTTTTTTTTAATTAGTCAAGATCATTAATTGGTTATTGAAATGAATTCAGAAACATAAATACATAAATTCCAGAATGTACATTCAAAAACCAAATTGAAGTATTGCAGGCTAGTGCACTGCACCAAGACATTTATACTCACTGCTCCAGTTAACATGTCATACATCAAAGCCCCCAGACTCCACCAGTCAACAGCCCGATTGTGTCCGCTTCTCATGAGGATCTCTGGAGCCCTGAAATAAAGAAACTTCTCACACTACTGTAGAATCCATCTAAATGCATGTCACACGGGCACATCAGGCAATGAAAAGTGGCATTTGGAAAACAGGAAATTAGCTACTTAGACGTCACAATGATGTAAAGGTTTCTTTAAACGTCTCTGACATGTATTCAATAGTGCCGCAGAAAGTGTGTGTCACTGTGCCATCATGAATCGACTCCTTACACAGCCCAAAATCAGTCAGTTTTACATGTCCTGTGATAAGACAAAAAAAAACAGACTTATTATAACTAAGCATTTCTCAGTTCATTTTCAAATTTACTCCTATCTAAACCACAATACGAAGCAGCCAAACCTTGGTTATTGAGCATGATGTTCTCCGGTTTGAGATCTCTGTAGATGATGCCTTTCTGATGCAGATGCCCGAGAGCCATAGAGATTTCAGCCAAGTAAAAGCTGCGTGTAAAAACCCTGAGCATCATTCTGATTATCTTCCTTCATCTCATCATGTTAAATGTAAGGCCTATTGTATGCATGTGTCGGTGTTCATGTGTTTTTGAAAATTGTTTCAAAAGTTGACACTTCAATAAAACGCTACATGTTTAAAGTGCTAATCATAATTCAATTTTAATATAGTAAGTTTATGCTTTAAAAGTCACAACTCATCAAATCGCCCTTTCTTACCAGGCTGTGTCCTCCATGAAAATCCCCTCTCGCTCAAGCTGCATGAAAAGCTCCCCACCTGCAAAAGAAAAAAGGCTTTTACCACAAATACCATAGTTTTAAGAGCAAACACAGGGATGGATGGATGGATAGTTAAGCTTCACCACATCATATCACACTGCAAATTTACCATTTCAGCACAAAAATTGCAACAAAGTGTTTCAACATTATTAAATAAATATCATTTTGCATAAAATGATTAAATAAATTCCCTCTATGCAAAAAAAAAAAAAAAAAAAACATTCAGAGAAGGAATGCCCTGCCAAAATAATGCTTTTTATGCAAAATAAGTTTCATAACTCTGAATTATTATCCACATAGCATCCACACTGCTGACACTTAATTTATGGTGTTGTTTCTTTAACCTTCTCATATTGAGATTTATTTTATTTATTTATTCATTTATTTTAACTCATCGCCGTCATAAGCCGAAGTGTGTATTTTGTCAGTGTTAAAAGACTTTCCCATATCCCAGCTTATGAAGAGACTATAAGCCAGTTGTAGGGTGATTTCTTCTACAAATGTGTAAACAATGATGAGATATCACAATTGCTTTGTGCATTTGGTTCGACCAATAGAGTGACTTTGGGGCGGGAGATAATAGAAATCCAGTGTTATTTCAGTATCATTGTGATACTATTATAGATAAATATTTTGAATACGTTTTTATTTTCGTATTTTTATGCAGTTTTTATTTCAGTTTTATAGTTTTATTTTCATACATCAAGTTAAACTAAATTAAAATGAGAAATACTGCCATTGCAACTAGCTGAAATAAAAAGTTTTTTTTTTTTCATTTCACAGATAACTTTTTATTTCAAGTAATGAATGTGTGTTTTTTGTGGTTTTAATTCTAGTTTCAGTTTAAACTATAATAACCCTGATCGTAATGTAATTTTTTCTTTAATTCAGATTAGTTTTAATTTTTTATTTTTTTGTAGTTCCATCCTTATTATTGTTAATGCAAAGATTTTTCACTGGCAATTTACATCTTTTCAGTTGATGATAATTGATAAAAACCTTAATTTGGGAAAACAGATGTGAGTAATGTTAATTTTTGTTCTAGTGTTTCAGATGCTCAGCTGGTGTTTAGACATGCGATAGCCTTGTCAGACATCACAATCCACTGGGATAAGAAACAACAATCCTCAGTCTAACCGTGTTGTGAAGGAATGCCTTCAAGGGCAGAAGGAGGACAGTGGAAAGAATGAATAGTTATCTATCCCTATGCGACAAAGGTTGTTCTTGATTCACAAACCACTTAGGTATTCAAGGATGAGGTAAAGCTTGCCACCCGTCTGAAAGGCATAGATTAGATCAACGATGAAAGGATGCTTGACTTCCTCTAAGATGTTCCTCTCTGCTTTAGTATGCGCTGTGTCCTTGGCGTTGCGTACAATCATAGCCTACAATAGGCAGAATAGAGTGACACTGAGACATTGCCACAAATCTAAATTACTGTATTCAAATCAAAGGAATTTGCTTAACCTTTTTTAAGACTTTCATTGCAAATATTTTTCCTGAACCTGCACCAGACACTTTCCGAACCTGGAAAACCTACAAAACATACCGAAGAAAAGGTTAAATTCAAGCCTAGTCAGGTCCAAACAGAACATTTTAGTACTATGTATATGGTATTATAGTTTTTAATAATGTTTAGATTTAAATTTTTTATATTTTCAGTTTACTTTTGTTGTGTTTTTTTTTTTATGAATTTTTTATGTTTTTAAATATTACTATTAAAGGATTAGTTCACCCAAAAATGAAAATTAGGCTGCGTTTTACTCACCCCCGAGGCATCCTAGGTGTATATGACTTTCTTCTTTCAGACGAATCCAGTCGGAGTTATATTAAAAATTGTCTTTGATCTTTCAAGGTCTATCATTGCAGTCAGTGGGTGTTGCATTGCTTCAGTCCAAAAGAACTTAAATAAAAATCCATAAAAAAAAGTGTCTCACACGGCTCCCGGGGGTGAGCAAAGGCCTCCTGTAGCGAATCGATGCATTTTTGTAAGAAAAATATCCATATTCAAAACGTAATAATCACTTTAATCTAGCTTGCGCCAGCAGTTGTACACAGAAGCAGTTCCGGGAGCATGACGTATGGGGTCAGCGTTGCGCATGCGCTGGTGTGTCTCGTGAAAACCAACGTTTGTTTTCAGGATCAAAAGAAGCAGTTTCCTTACGTTAGCAAAGGAAAACAAGTCTCCTCTTAGCTTATATCGAAATCCTCCGACATTCTTCTTTACAAATACTCGTTTTGTACTTCTAATTAGTGAAAGATCAAAGACAATTTTTAATATAACTTCGACTGGATTCATCTGAAAGAAGAAAGTCATATACACCTAGGATGCCTCGGGGGTGAGTAAAACGCAGCCTAATTTTCATTTTTGGGTGAACTAAACCTTTAATAGTAATATTTAAAAACATAAAAAATTAATTAAACCTAAATAGTAACACTGATTTAGTTTTATAGTCACTAATTTCAATGCTTCAAATTGAAATTTCTATCTCTGTAGTTTTATATTTATATATTATTTATTTATAGTTTTAATTATAGTTTATTTCAATTCACAAACATATTTTTAACAGTTTTAGTTTACGATAGTAAACTAATTGGGTGTAATTTAATTGGGTGTGTCTGTGCTGGGGCTGCTCCAGGACAGGTTTGAAAACCCCTGGTATAAAGTCATATTTGTGCTCTTTAGCCTTTTAACATTTTAACACACTTCTGTTTTTACTTTTAACAATGTACTGTAATATTGTAATTGTGTTCAGTACAATGTTCAGTGATTTGGAGCTACGGTATAGTGTGAAAAGTGCTTTAAAAATAAATAAATACAATGAAAATATTTTAAAGTGCTACATTAATTAAAAAAAAAAAAAATACCTTTCCATAACCTCCTTTCCCCAACACACGGAGAAGCTCAAAGCACTCTGTACAGATGTTCTCAGTGCCTTGGTTCACATTGTCCTCTGATATCTCAATCTTCTCACAGTCGTCCATGTTACTATAAGAATAAACCAGAAATAAAGTGATTATGTGCATTATTCCTAGGGCTGGGCGATATAGTTAAAAAAATGTATCAATGATATAATGTTTCATATCATTCGGTATTGATAATTATTGACATTTTTTATAACCTTTTTTTAAACAAAGCGCAACAGAAAAAACTGTTTAAATTTAACCACTGTATTTTTAAATTAACCCAATTTATTGAGACATACAACAAATATATTTTTTTTAACAATCACACCAAATAAAAATTCAATCTAATTTCTAATGTTTTATATGCAGATTAAATAGGTCTTAAGTAAACTTTTTACATTCCGAGGCCACAGGAGGGCGCAATGAGCAAAATAATGTAGTGCATTTAAAAATTGCATAAACAATTATGAACAAAACAGCATCATGTATTTATGTACAACTCAAAGCCACTGCACTGATCCATGAGGTCACTGATCTGAGCCTGCCGAAGAGAGGTGTGAAATGCATAATCAATAAAGGCTCAATTCACTGCAATAGTGAACTGCAATTATGTCGGGTGGAGAGATGATCAGTGCACGAGCAGATAACGTTACGAGGCAACAGCTGGCAGCACTAGTCTGAACATGAAAGCGTAAGGGCTCGGATTTCGCAATACTATTCCCAGAGATCCCATAAAATGACATGCACCATCTATGGTCTTGTAACTCCTAATTGACTGATCCTCGTAAATATAAAATGCATATTAACGAAGTCAATAAATAATTTTAAGCAATATGCATGTATACATCTAAGGTACGCTGCATTGCATGTTTTGATGTGAAAGGAAACACATACATGCAGCCCTTTAAATTCCCTGTACTGTACGTTACTGCCAAGTAGTAAGCTCACATACAACACTATTAACTCCAGTTCGTATCTTTGACTAATGCATATAAATCATATTTCAGCACTTAAAACGCAAATATCTCTGACACATGTGCTGACAGGCAGAATGTCAGTTATTCAGTACATAAAACACACTGTAGAGTAATCGCGTTAGCCTGTTAGCATAACATAAAGCAGCCCGACGCTTGTTCCTCGGGCCTCAGGCCTGCACTCTGAACACTCCCGCGTGCCGTTTCCTTCAAAACACCGCCCGTCCTTTACCTCCTCCAGCTCATCATCGGAGACATTTTCCTCTGGCTGGTCCAGATCGATGTCGAAAACGCCAGCCATCGTTGATTTCGCTGTCTGAGATCACTTCAAACCGCGTAAGGAGCTCGCGCTTCCCACCTCATGGACATGAACGCAGCGTCGCCATGACCAGCATGGAGTGAACGCGAACTGACGCCCCCGCGCGGAGGAATGCGGGAAATTACTCGCGCTCGACTTGAAACTGTTTTTATGCATGTCATTGCCACAAAAATTTTTTATCGGAATACAAAACCCATAAATAAATATATACATAATAATATAATATATATAATAATATTGTA